CCACACCAACACTTGGATGGACAAAACGTCGAGGAACCAGCTCCGCGTCGACACTCAGATGGACGGCACGTCGATGAACTAGCCCCACGCCGACACATGGAGGAGCGGCAACCGGCTCCGCGCCGGCACCCTGACGAGTCGGCCCTGGTCGAAAGGCTGCAGAGAAGGATCGAGGAGTTAGCAAGAAGGGTGGAGGCACGGGAGCAGTCGCCGGAACCTGAGGTACGGATGGCAGCACCGTTCTCCCCAAGCATCATGGACGTACCTCTTCCGAGGGAGTTCAGGTTACCTGCCATCAAGGCGTACACGGGAGCCACTGACCCACGTGTCCACATGACTAGGTACAAGGCTGCCATGGTAATGATCGGGGCAGGGCACGCCATCATGTGCCGAGCGTTCTTGTCCACCCTGGATGGAACGGCCCAAGATTGGTTCAACACCATCTCGGACGGGTCGATCCAGAACTTTGGAGAGTTGTCCAAAAGCTTCCTGACATACTTCTCCGGTAGCATACAGCGTAAGAAACCCTTCTCTCACCTCTGCGTAGTAAAGCAAGATAGAGGCGAGAGCCTCAAAGACTTCCTAATCAAGTGGAAAAAGGAAGTCAATAATGTCTACGACTTTGACTCCAAGGCGGCGATCCCGATATTCATCCATGCCTTGAGATCGGGGTATTTTCACAAGCAGCTGAACGCCCACCACCCCCGTTCTTACGAAGATTTGATGAGGATGGCTAGCCACTATGCCGAAGCGGAGGACGTCGACAAGAAGAAGAAAGATGAGGAGGACGGCAGGAAAAATGGGAAACCTGGGAAAGCGGGTTCGCCCAGCCAAGCACCACGTTCGAACCACCCGGCCGCAGGGAAAGGCCGGGACCATGAACGGCCTCGCCTGGTTACCTTGCGTAACCTAACTCCACTTGCCCATCCCGTTAGTGTCATCCTAAAACAGGCTGAGGAGATGGGAATAGTCGAGTTCCCACCAGAATGCATGAAGGTCTCCCCAAAAGGAGACCAAGCAAAGTATTGCAGGTTCCATAGGCAACCTGGGCACGACACGGATGAATGTAACGTGCTGAAGAGACAAATAGAAGAACTCATCCAGCAGGGCTACTTCCGGCATTTTGTCAAGCGATCCAAGCAGCAGCAGCCGCAGCGCGATCCATCAAAAAATCCACCACCAAAAAATGTCTGGAGAAATGAGGATGTCACCGAGCCGTCCACCTTGAAAAAAAGAGAACACGACCAAATATCTGAGCAGAGTGATAGCGAGAAAGAAACCGAGGTGGCGCCTAGACGACAAAAGAAGCACACCATACACTTTATCTATGATGGACCTGCAGGGGGCGACACGCCCGCGGAAAGAAAGAAGTGGAGCCGGCGGCTATACGTGGGAAAAGTGGCGAGTCTTCCCAGAGAAAAGAAACAGAGACAGGAGGCCATCACCTTCTCTGGTGATGACCTCCCAGAGGGCCCGTTACCCCATCGTGACGCCCTGGTAATTGAGATGGACGTCAACGATGTCATTGTCCGCCACATCTTAGTCGACACGGGAAGCTCAGTCAATGTGATGTATTACGATGCCTTCACCAAGTTAGGGATACTTAGGAACCAGCTCAAAGAAGTACGTACCCCACTCTCTGGATTTACGGGTGCTTCAGTAGAGACGGAGGGGTCAGTGGTCTTATCAGTGGAGATAGGCACAAGCCCTAACATTCACAAACTTGACTTGGAATTCATCGTGGTAAGACTCACTTGTGCGCACAACATCATATTAGGGAGACCGGCACTGGAGAACCTCAAGGCCATAGTGTCGGTGGAACACTTGTGTATGAAGTTCCCCACTCCGAGCGGGATAGGGGTCGTCAGAGGAGACCAGCGAGCGGCTCGCAGTTGTTACATTAAAGCATGCAAAAAGATTGGCAGAAATGATCCATAAGTCCACACCATCTGTAAGGATAATCGATCGGGTATGGAGTTAGGAACATTTGATTAAGTATTTTCCTTAATATTCTAGTAGTCGTTTGGGACTAGTGTTTGGTAATCGCGGTCCGCCAGCTTTGCATTCTGAAATATTTTGGAATAATATCTCGTGCTTGTGGTCCGCCCATGTTGTTTAAAAAAAAAAAAAAAAAAAAAAAAAAAAAAAAAGGAACGAGTCGCACGCCCCGGCCACAGGTTGGCGGAGACGTGACTCGACTCGGATGGCCGAGGCGCCCGCCTCGGCCAACGCCGAAGTCCGTCTCGGCAAAAAAAAAAATGAATAAGAAATAAAAAATATAATAAAAATAGGCCGGAGCCTGCCCCAGCCACGATCGGTAGAGGCTACGCCTCGGCTGCGATCAGCCGAAGCGCACGCCTCGGCCACGATCGGTCGAGGCGCCGGCCTCGGCCACGATCGGTCGAGGCGCCGGCCTCGGCCATGGTCGGCACGCCTCGGCCACGGTCGGTCGAGGCGACGCCTCGGCCACGATCGGTTGAGGCGCCGCCTCGGCCACGATCGGTCGAGGCGACGCCTCGGCCACGGTCGGTCGAGGCGCACGCCTCGGCCACGGTCGGTCGAGGCGACGCCTCGGCCACGGTCGGTCGAGGCGACGCCTCGGCCACGATCGGTCGAGGCGACGCCTCGGCCACGGTCAGCCGAGGCGCACGCCTCGACCACGATCAGTCGAGGCGACGCCTCGGCCGGAGGCACGCACCTCTGCCAACCTAGGCCAAAGCCTATCTCGGCTAGCATAAGAAATAAAATAAAATCATATGTGATTTAATATATATATATATATATATATATATATATATATATATATATATATATATATATATATATATATATATATATATATAATCACATACACAGGATCAAATAAAATCACATATCCTAAATCAAGCAGGATTCTACACAGGATCAAGATAGATTCAGCCTTACTCCCAAGTCAACTCAAACACATCCGTTGACTCAGGAGTAGGGGGGGACTGGTGACAGGATAATAGGGCTGGCACCCGACCCGGATCACAAATGAGCATCTGACTCAGCATCACATGGGATCCCAACGGGCAGAACTCCAACGGTTAGAATTCCAACAGGTGTCACCTTTATTGTCATTGAAGCCACCTTTGATGCCACCATTGATGAGAGAGAGTTAAAGCCTCAACGCCTCATTCATAACTCTTCATATTCTTGCCGTTAGCTCATCTCCCCAAGGATGTCTCTTCATGTTGTTACCGTTAGGACCTAGCATAAATAGAACTTCCCTCAGCTGTGCAGGGGACACACTGTACTTTCTATACTGAGACAAAGGCAATACAACTATTGTCACTTTCTTATTCGTTACTCTTATATTATATTTCCGGTAACATATTTACCGTCAGCAAGTTTGTGAAAAGAAGTAATTTTTATAAACGCCTTACAACAAGTATCGTCTAAAGAGGTATAAATCATACAAAATGGACAAGAAACCTAATTAAAGAGTTCAATAAAACTAAAGTAAAATCTATTTTTTTAATAAGTGAAGGAGAGTGATTGGAGTGAGAAACATGGCCAATTGACACTTATTAGCAAACTAAAGTTAATAAAAGAGTTCAATAAAACTAAAGTTAATTAAATTTTTTATAAGTGAAGAAAAATGAAGTGATAAATATGATCAAATTGGCACTTAGCATATTAATTGTTACATCGAATAAAATATTCCAGTAAAATTAAAATTATTTTTTTTTTAATAAAGTGAAGAATGAAGTGAGAGACATACGTACATAGCCAACTTATTAGCACTTAGCAGACTAATTTTTCCAAATTGGGATGTTTTAATTTGGTTATCCAAACTGTTGATCATGAATCAACCATTCATGATCTAAATGACTACGTTACCACCAATAAGATATAGAGTGGAGCATGTGTATTTGTCAACTTCAATATAATGTTAATAGAAATCAGTTGAAACTTTTCATTTGAGAAATTGACCATTGATCTAACCACCACCGCTTTTCCAAACTACTATATACAGGCTAGCTGAGTGATCAAACATCATCACATCATATCATGGGCTATCTATGAACTCTATCACTTCTTTGCAACTAATTAGTTACCTAATCTAAACACAACAGACATGCATTATTAATGTATTCGATCAACTCAACAATAAATCTTCATCGCATGCATCGTCATAGGTACGTAAAACATGCATTCATGAAGCATAATAAAATAGTTGATGCCCCCTTACCTGACCTCTTTTTCACTTACTAGTCTTTATCTTGGATTAGCCTCCTCAGTCAGTGTTGGGGGTGGAGGATGATGAGTTGGGTGTCGTTGGCTCCAAAAGGATTCTATATATGGTGAATTAGTATTACTTTTAGGTTTCCCCCAATTTAAAAAATGTATTCAACTCAACTTTTAGTATTATATTAATCTTTAATCTTGATTACCACAAGAACTTTTAAAAAATTTCAATAATTTTTTACCATAACTAAGAACATACATTTAAAAATTCCTACATCCAAATAAAAAATGAGTTTCTTATTTAAAAATATCAATTCCAATTCTCTTTTGATTATCTTACCCCAATACTTTAAATTTATCTATCAGTCAACATTTCTAATTTCTAATTTCTAATTTCTAATATTATAAAGTTACCAATCTTTCATCACTTACTCATTTAGTAGTTAGGGAGTAAAAGGCACCTTCTAATTAAATCCACATTTTGCATTGCCCCTTTATTTTGATGTAACCAAATTTTAGAAATCTCATCACAAAGATAGAATTTCACGGTCAAGAATTAAATGCAGTAGCAATCTAGAAATCCACTGGGAAAAAAAACAAAATTAAATGTAATGAGGCATTATCTAGATTGCATTAAAGCTAGCTGCAGATAACAATAATGATGGAAAGGTTGATTAGCCCCATAGGAACGTGAGTATTAAATAAACTAATTAATTAATTATAAAAATAATATATGATGTTTCTTTATGTAAACTGAGCCATGTGCATTGATAGGTCCATGAAAACTATGAAACCAACTCCACAAAGACTTTCTTTAATCAAAATTTCTTAATTACAATGTACACCTTGCAACTTTTGAATAATAACAATACTATGCATTATTGCTCTTTACACCAAAGGGAATTTTTATTCCAATACCCCACCACCATATATCTTTTATTGCCAACTTCAATTCAACTTCCCATCCAATTCAAGAACAATGCATGGCTCTTTGCCCCTCCAACTGCTTTACCATCCCATCATGCATCCATCTTATCTACTCACACACATAACCTCACATCACGGTAATCTAACCATATAAATATGTAACTCTGAATAGGAGGTCCGATCCATCAATTTGAAGTTACATATATATTAATTTACAGAATAATTAACAAGGTAAAAGAAAAACGAAATTTCTATGGGTGATTTTTAACTTTGAATGTAATTTAAGGAGGTGTTGAGTAAATACAAATTGTGATTATTAGGCAGAAAAGGGTGCCCTATGAGGAATGCCTTTCCTTCTCCTTGCATTAGAATGAGGAGGAGGAGGAGGCGTGAGTGGGTATATGTCATGTTGTGAACCTTCACGCAATTGTTCTCCCCCTTTTGAGCCTTCACCTCTTTGCATTGCCATCTCATTCTTGGAATCTATTGTAAAGCTTGCATCTCCATTCCTCTTTATTCCAACAAGCTAATTATGCAAAATAAAGAAATAAAATAATAATAATAATAATAATAATAATAATAATAATATGAAAAAAAAAAATTAAATTATGTAAAGTTGAGCAGCATGTTTAAGCAATACCGCATTGTTTAATTAATTAGAATAATATATAGATTGATTTGCCTAAAAAAGAAAATTAACAGAGCTATGATGGTGACCATGATAATTTTATATAGGTGAATGATGTGTACATGCACTACATTTCACCACAAAAACAAATGGAGAAAAAAGGATGATAATTATGAGAATGGGTTGGTTATTCTTGAAAAGGATGGCATTGGTCTAGAAAATATCAATATGGCTCTTGCATCTTGTCTCTCTCTATACATATATATATATACATACATACATACATATATATATATATATATATATATATATATATATATATATATATATATATATATATATATGCAATGTAGGCACAAACATGTGTACATACATACATTTGTTATAATCTTTAAATTATAACAACGAATATTATATAGTGTAATTGATGAAAGGGGTTGTATTGATTATGTTTTTTCACTACTGGAAATTATGGAATTTTCGACCACCTGAAAGTGATCTTGAATCAAATTGATACCAAAATGTGGTCGGAAATAGCAACAAAGGTTTTTTCGGATACCAAAAGTGGTCGGAACAAGGCTTTCGACTTGATTTAAGATCATTTTCAGGTGGTCGGAAATTTCATAATTTCCAGTAATGTTTTATGTTATCCTTACTTGAATTCGAGCAAATAATTGCCCAATTATCCGTGCAGTGCGCGTGCAATGTACGTGCAATGCGCGTGCAATGTACGTCCGATGCACGAATAATTTTTTTTTGTTATATATTTAGATAATAAAATTATGTACGGTATTAGTTTTAAAGATTTTAATTTTGGTAGGGCCTTATTTATTTATCCGAACAGGGCCACAAAAATCTAAAAACCGGCCCTGTTAACATATGTAGACAATATAATGTGAGAAATTGCATATAGTTTTGTCTACATAAATATAAATGCAATAAAAAATTCATAAATAGATCTGACTATCTATCCAATTAACCCTAGCTAGGTTATTATATCTTGTAAAAGCATGTACTAGTTTGAATTGAATAAATGAATTGAAGATGCATTCTATTCACCACAAGATAGGTAGATCTAAAATTATATTAAAGATTCCATCTTATTATTATGTCCCAATTATTAATTAATTAGTCAAGTCATTATATTGCATATGATATGTTGATGGTGATGATGCATGCATGCATGTATGTATGTAAATGAATATGCTACATGTATGCCTGAAGTAAAGGATTAAAAAATGAGAAGATCAGAAGAAACAAATTAAAAAAGAACAATGTAATAGAGCTAGTAGCATTCAAAAAAAAAAAATTAAAAAAGAAAAAAAAAAGAAAAAAAAAAAAAAAGGATGTGTGCATAGCAATGTAAAGAAGAATGAATGGATGAGAAGATGAGATGATGAGTGCTGACCTTACACCCCAAAGAACAGAAACGAAATGGATCCAAGAGGGTTCTTCCACAGATTTCACAAATGTGAGAAGCAACTCCGCCTCCTCCTTTCCCACCATTATTATTATTATTATTATTGTTCTTGGGCTGAGGCCTCTCGTTCAAGAACAAAACCCTGGCGCTGTTTATCACATACGTCTGCACTGCGCTGATATCCAACACCCTCTCAATCTCCGATATCCTCACCACATCATGGTACGACGATCTCCGTATCTGATCCAATTCAAATCCATGCACCCGGCCGCCGGAATATTCAAGAAAATTAAACCAAGATTTCATATATACATGACTGAATTGATCGAAACTGCAACAACTACTACTACTGGAATATTCATTCTGACCTGAATGACTCGGTGATCTTTGTGTTTGGAGGAGCGGCAGTAGAGGCAGAAGGCGGCGGCATTGCAGCAGTCAAGGCAGAAGAGGTTGCACTCGTTCTTGGCGGCGGCGGCGTGGCTGCGGCACGGGGAGAAGAATTCCGCCGTCTTCAGCAGCGGTTCCAGCCACGGAGGAATTAGCGCCATTATATATATTATTATTGCGCTAGCGGTGCTGCTTCTGCCGCTCGCCCTGCACCTTCAATAATCCAAAAATAAAAAGGACCACGTGATCGAGGTCAAGAAAAGCAGCGTATAGTAGCCAAAGTGGACAAAACTTAATTGGGCAGCTGGGTGAACTTTACCATTACGATTAGGATAACAATGTGGTTTAATTTTTCTTGGTGGCCGGCCGGCCGGCTAGATTCTTGTAATTTGTAATGATGGTAGAGAATCCAGAAAAATGTGTAGGCGAGGAGGATATGATAGGATGAAGAATTGAAGATGGAGAAGATGATATGGTACGGTGTTTTATTTGCGTGCAGTGGGGGTTGGGTTTGTTACGTTTGGAACTAACGCAAACAACACCAGATGAGGCCCAACCTAAACAATAAGTAATCGCTTCGCTTCAATAACTAGCCTTAGCGGGGGGACAACAACCAAATCAACATTAAACTAATGTGACACCTCAACACCTTAGATTATAGGCAGTGGCTATGATTTCTTATCAGCCGCCGCCGCCGTTGGATTTCGATCAGTTCATGTATATATGAAAAATGTATGTTGTTTTCCTTCATCCTTTCAAATTCAAATTTTGCTAAATATTCATACAATTTTACATTAACTCTATTTCCTTTATAATTAATTAATGTACAAAGAGTTTAAAATGTTAAATAATCAACAAAATCCATTACTTATCAACAAATGTGTTATTCAAAGTATATTAATTAGTAAATATAATGGTCCAAATTCAATCAATGAATTGAATGCCACATGCCATTTAACATTAATGATAAATCATAAGAAATATTTAAAAATAATAATGCAAATACTCTAATATATATATATATATATATATATATATATATATATATATATATATATATATATATATATATATATATAGAATGATAAATATTTAAACCACATTGGATGTTCTTTGCGTAGGCACGGCGGTCGGCCACTGCGCTACGCCTAAGCAAAACAGCCGTCGCGGAAACGTCATCGTCGCAATTGCCTTGAGTAGCTTTCACACGTGTCGCCATATGAGTGGTTAATAGGATTGGCCCCACGAGATGGTTTCTTGTTGCTAGTGACGTATGGATCCAGGACGAGGAAGAAAAAGAAAGAGAATCATAGCAAACTGCCCCTCCATTTCTTAATTAATTGCGCTTCTGGTCCGAAGAATTCTTAGGTACCACGTCTTGTCGGAAGTGGGAACGCGTACATTTTTAATTCCGAGTTATATATATAAAAAATGAAAGATAAAATTGTTTAGTAAATATGACAATCACTTATAAAATAAAATCATTTAAAATTATTGCATAAAAACAAAGGCATCGTTTAAAATGTCCCAATTTTTAGAACACAAGAATATTTCGGTTCAAACAATTACCATTTAAATAATATTCTTTTCCCCATTTTATCTGTCATACTCACTATTCAATGGTCAAACCAACTCTTTATTCTTTGTTTATTTTCTTTAGTATTATTTACTTATATTTAAATTTTATTTTTTTTTTTGTATTTAATAGTACTTTTAGAGTAATTTTTAAATATATAAATTTTATATATACTAATACTAAACTTAATATTATGAAAAATTAAATTAAAAATAAATTCAGTTAAGTCTAGTTAATTGAACTAGACACATAAAATAGGACGGAGAGAGTAACATATTATACTTCTAAACAAATAAAGATTACACATTTTAATGATGTGTAACTAATTAACTTGTAAGAGATTACATTATCACAAGGAATTTTATATATATATATATATATATATATATATATATATATATATATAATATGTTTATAATAATAGGGTCGAAAACTTCTTCCGTCTAATGTTACTTATAACTCATCCATGCTAGCTAGTAGGATTTTGATCAGAGCCGTTCCATTAAAAATAGGAGCCCTATCTAATAGTTTAATTTGGACTTTCATTATTTTTGTTCTTACATACAATCTAAAATAATAGGCTAAATTGCAAAGACAAAGACAATAATAGAGAGACAAAAACATGGGGGAGAGAGAGATTTTTTTTAATATTTAAATTTTGTTGCAAAAATAGCATTAAAATGACATTTTAAGTGGCTATTTTGTGGTACAATTATCAGTGGGGTCCACTTCTGAAATGGGACGGATCAGAGTGGATTCAGGTTCTTCGTAGTGAGACGAAGAGATTGATATATTGTATGCTCAAAACAGATAATGGGTGAATGTGATATTGATTCTCAAAGTAGACCCATTGAGTTGGAAAAATGAAGGAAAAAGATGAGCTTTTGTCCCATATTGATTTGGGAAGAGGATTTGCCTCACTATTTATACAAGAGTCTTTTAGAAACTTATTGAATTGTACAGCATAGAGGCTTTCTCTTGAGCACAAGGGGGGTGGGTGCAAATCAAATTCTAAATTGAGATTAAGATTGAAAAGGCTTGATTTAAGTCAAACTATTTCTTCTTCTCAAAACTCTGCTCCTACTCATTTCTTATTTGTGTTCTGCCCGTGCTCTAGTTTGCCAACAAGAACACACATACAGAAACTGTTTCTTCTTCTCAAAACTCAGCTCTTACTCCTTTCTTATCTACTGTGTTCTGCCCGTGCTCTAGTTTGCCGGGTTCGTTCGTTTGGGTGCTCAAACGTCGAACCGTAGTACGTTGTATCCTGGGAAGCCTGTTTCTTCTTCTCAAAACTCAGCTCCTACTCCTTTCTTATCTACTGTGTTCTGCCCGTGCTCTAGTTTGCCGGGTTCGTTTGTTTGGATGCTCAAACGTCGAACCGTAGTACGTTTTATCCTGGGAAGCCTAGGCCACAACGCTCCTAGCACTTTTGGGAGGTGTTAAATAAAGTTTTAAGAAAAAAGGGCACTTCGCCCTACTCGTACTAACCCCTCTTCCTTTCTTTTCTTCTTTTGCGTTTTAGGATTATGCTTTAAGCACAAATCCGTTGTTCTATATATTCATATATATAGTTGTTGGTTGGAATATATATATATATATATATATATATATATATATATATATATATATATATATGTATATAACGGTGGGGTCTGATTTATATATATTTGTGTGTATGTATATATTTCAGATATATATCCAATAATATTTTATATATTTTCGTGTGTATATATAAATATTATTTTGGGATATTAAATCGACTTTGGTTCATTATTTCCCAACAACCTTAAAACCTTATCATTTTTTATAATGAGCAAGTCGATGGATTCCAAGAGTATTGGAACCGTGAATGTTGCTCGTGGTACAAATTCAAATGGTCGGAACGGCAACGATGTTGCACATTCCGTGATGCAGGTTGACGGCAACAACGTTGGAAATGATATTTCCATGGGAGTTGCGAAAACACACGATGGTGCTCTGGAGAACTGTGATTCACGAACCGGTAGACCAATGGCTGGTAGCACACAATTGGTACCTATTGTGTTTCCTAGTGGATCGGCTGAAAGCCACGAAGGATCCAATTACGAGAAAAACACAATAAGATTGTTGGCTAAGTTCAAAACTCAAAACTTTAGGCAAAAATTGAATAAATTAAGATTAATAAATGGAGTCGATGAACTATGAACCTGAGGCATGCGGGTGAAGACAGAGCTGGTAATGGTTGAACACAAGGCTGCGCAGCTACGGACGATTGAAGCTTGAAGATGAAGCTGGCGAGACAGCGAGTTAGCGACTGTTGTGACGGTGTCTGGTGGGCGGTGGCGACTAGATGGAGCGCGAGGTAGAGGAGAGAGGACAGAGGCGACAGAGGAGAAGAGCGTCGGCAGGGCGTAACCGCTTAAGAAGAAAAAAAAACTGTGCAGAAGAAAAGATGTGAAAAATAGAATAGTAATTTGTGAAAAAGAAATGATGTAATAGTTTGAGAAATGACTATCCAATGACATGTAGTACATGTCATTGGATTAGTTAGAAAATAATTTGAATTTATTAGTTGGGAGATAAATTTTGATGAAGAGTTTGGGTATGTGTAGGAGTTGAAATGACAAACCAATGACATGTAGTACATGTCATTAATATTTTTTGGATTAGTTAGGAAATAATACAAAGTAGAAATGTTGTTTGAATTTATTAGTTCAGAAATAAATTTGGATGAAGAGTATGGTTGTGTGTAGGAGTTGAAAATTAAATTTAAGGTGTAAGGATTTAAAATGATAGTTGAAAACATTTCAAAATTGCTAAAATTATTCAGTTTCAGCTCCACTGTAGTAATTTTCTTAATTTTCAGAGTCGTAATTTATGGGATAAACAAGAGTTGAATGTGTGTAGGATTCTCCTATTTCATAATTTATGTGTGCATGCTGTTGATGAACTGGTCATAGAGGTGAAACTTTGGAATAATGACCAGAGATCGAGTCTCACCAGTGGCAGTGTGGGAGCAACCTCTCAAAGTGAGGGGGGCTCCTTGTGCGCAGTGAGCACCGGTCTAGCCTCTATGGTTCATGTTCGGTTGAGTCACCATGATTTACATCTTCCCAAATGCTCTGTCGGGCTGGGGTTGGGGTTCAGCCTTTTGGATTTTCTTATTTCATAATTTATGTGTGCATGCTGTTGATGAAATTCTGCTTCAAAATTTTTAATGTGTCTTGATTGAGAAACTAACTCGATTATTTCTTCAACCAAAATTTCTAATTTTTCTTCTTCAAAATCTATTTCCAATTGTTCTTTTAATTTGTCTAATACAAATTTTTCTTGGAATATGAAAAATTTTAAATACTTGATAATTTGTTTTATGAAGTCTGGGTAGGGAAATTTTTTGAGTAGATAATAAATTTTTTTGTTAAAATTTGAAATATTTATTGTATATTCAAGAAATTCTTTATCTTTAGATTTTTCATCTAAGTAATATGTCGTAAATATGTTTCCAAAATTTCTTTCAACTTGAAAATTTTCATTGTTTCCAAAATAATCTTGAATAATTTTTTTTTTCCATGTTTTCAATTTTTTCTACAAATTGTCTTTTCCGCCGGCATTGTTTTGAGAATTTATATTTCAAAATTTTACTTTTCCAAACAGTTTTTAAAGCTTTGCTCCTTCTTCTTCTTCTCTTTACTGCTGCCAGATATGATCTTTCTTCATCTTATCAGTTCATGTTAATTTTTATGCTTACTATTTAATCATATTTTATCTAAAACCCTCACCTTTTCACCCCTAACCTACTGCCGGATTTCTCCGTCTACAATCCTAACAACATCTATGAACCTTATTTGGGTACTCTTTTCGCTTTTTGGTACTTCTTCCCCAAAGGTTTTCTAGACTACATGGATTGCTTCGGCTCAAACAGGATCTACGTCTATTGGATAAAAATATACATATGATTA